CTGTATTTGCTTTGTGAATCAGCGCAGTGTAATGTCCCTTAAAGTTGTAGTGTTTGCACCGTTATGAAGATATGCTGAAGGACATTCATACATTTGCTTCTTGTAAAACAGAAAGGAAACGGGCAGTTCTGATTATAGCCAACCATTAGATTAAGAAAGCACAGCCAATAGTACATATTGCAAAAGTCCACGTGATTATGATTCAGCCATGGGACATTTAAAAGTAAAAAGAAATCGTGCTATGTACCCATCTACTGACAGCGAATCTATACCGTATTTTTCCTCACAAATGGAAAAAAGTCACTTATTTCCATTAGTTGTTGACCAATGTGTACAATATCAGGAAGCAGGAAATAGTTGGTACTATTTGAAACATTTGTAGAACTAAATTATTGAGTTTTTTTCTATTGCAGTAGATGCTTCAAATTCCAAAGACTATTCTAACTGTTTGTACATGGAAGAATAATTTAAGTTGTAAAACCGACTTAAACTATTAACTGAAAGGATTAGTTATCTCGTTCGAAAAAAAGGTTTTATGTCGTAATGACAACTTAATATGACGCTGAAAGACAGTGCATTATTATAATATAGCTATATCATTATTAAAGATAAAATGTCCCAATCGTCATTTTTGTTTATATGACCCGTGCCGCTTTTTGTTTGATTTAGGTATTTGATCCAAAAACGTTGTTCAACTAATCATTAACAATCTTAAACATAAAACAATGTTTGAATTGTGTTTCATTCTTATTTCTGTTTGCAATAAGTGCGCGGTATCTACTGCGTTTGAGTCACAATTTATCTTATCAGTTTGTATTTTGCGGTCAGTACATCCTTGAATTCCTAAATACACGGGAGTATAGAAATCCTACTTTGTTAATATCACCTCTGTTGTAAAAGTTTATCTCAAATCGATTGATCTGATGATATGTCACAGGATTTGGCTTTGTATCTGTTTTGTGAGTCGGCGCATTGGAATGTCAGCCATATAACTCATGGTTTGATGTTGGAGGAAAGCAGACCAATCGGGAGGTCTGTTTATACTTCGATTATCTTTGTATCATGGTCACCAACGAGCACTGGCTTAAATGCATTTGTTGTACAGGGTCAATCTGAAGAATTAAGCTACCCGTGTGTGTCGCACTATGAAAACCCGAATGTAAAAGAAAACAGAGTGTCTGTGGTCACCGTGTAGACTTAAGGTACGTATAAGCTGGATTTTTTTTAATCATTTTCCGTTATCAAGGTAATTTCAGCAGGGACACTAAACCACTTTAAATAATAAAACTTAAAAAAAAAATGTTTTAACAAACCAGACCGGTTATTTGTTAGAGTTATACCACCTTTCCCTGTCTTGGGCCTCTGTGATACACACTGTTTTGATACTCTTGTGGTGGTATATCTACTGATTGTGTTGATTTTATTTGTTACGACATTACCATCATGCAGCTTTTTTTACAAAATGTATATTTTAAATGAACCTGAACTGTTTATCACATCATATTATATAAATTCGGATTTAATAAATGTCTCATCTGTTCTTTTGCTACGACTACAATCATGATCTCGCAGTCACATATGGTAGGTCTTTGTGTGACATAAAGGTCGATATAATGTTTAATAATTCTCATCAGATTGCCTTGTTGTTTTGTTGTCACTACCTGATAATTTGATGTGAAAACCTGACGTTTTTATAAATGGACCGATCGAACATGGCGGTTGTTGTTAGAGACGCTTTCCCTTCTTAAATAAATAGTATTATTCTCCTTTCAAGGGTCTCCATGTGAAACTTTAATTTGTCTACCCCTGGTTTATCATTTTTTGGTAAGAATTATGATTCTGTTGACACTTTGGTAATATGTTGTTGCTTATTGTGTGTGTTTAATCAGTGATCTGTCGGAAAGTATTGATTAAAAAAATATTTCAAAATTAAAATGACCTTTTTCCATGGTCTTTTCGTATTATCATTTATTTTGCCAAAATTACTTTAAGTGAATTTCCACACACAGGTTCCTATGCAACAGTTCGGTTCAAAGTTCATAAACAGGTTCCTGCACGGTACCAGTTCATGTCATTAGTGCACATGCAATATTAAAGTCCCTTTCCTATCTATTCCTGTATCTCCACTTATGACAATATACACCCGGGTTCTTCTGCTGGGAACCCATTTCCAGTCAAGCTAACACCGTTGATCAGCTGCCTTTTTATTGTTAGATGTTGATGCTGATGTCAGCTCTTACTTGGTCAAAAGCACTATTTTTACTAATCTTTTGAAATCTCCTAAGATATTGATGCATTAGGTATGACCTTTACTTGTGTGATGTTGTTGACCTGGCCTGACCTAAACCTGTTGCATTGGAAAGTCAAG